GACTTTTTGTTATTCAATTTTAACAAATTTATATAGTCACAAGTACTTATTTAGTATTTGCACTATCTGATTTGTTCGTTTGCATTTCTCTGTATAACTAGTTACACAAATGTCCTATAATTTGTCAGTTATACTGATGTGACTACTATTATAGATATTCTAATCCAATCATTAGTAACAGTTGCTATAATATAAATATTATATAGATAATTATTTAAATTTTTGCTATTAATAAAATTTAAACATCTAACATACCACTTGGAAGGTTAACAACTTGACTACTTTACTAGGTTACTACACTTCTAATTCTATATATTATAATTATATATGTATATAGTTTCAAAAATCTTAATAAAATATTAGCATAACTGCTTAAAATTTAAAAATATATATATATTTATATTTATATATTTTATATTTAAAAAACCCATATTTGATAGCAATTTTACTAATATCAAACTTATCAGTCTTCTTGAATATATTAAAAAACTCTATACAAAACCTCTTATTAACAAACTTAATAGTATTTTTACTTAACATCTTGTTTTATCTTTATATAATTATATTGCTCTTCTTAATAATAAGATAACAATTTCTATATATATTCTAAACAACATTATTAAATATGCTTTTTGTAATTCTAAATAGCTTTAGCTATTATTACAAAACATAAGTAAAGCCTATAACTTTGTTAATCTTAAACTCTTTTATAAATCTTTATTATGACTACAAATGCTTTAACATCTTATTAATATTCTAACTAATCTTCTTATTAATTATTACAATTATATTATAACTAATTTTGAACTTACAAACTTCTATATAGCATTAACTAAGAAAAAACAATTATATTACTCTTCTAAAGAATTTATTATAACCTTTTTATTATTAAAATTACTAATTATTTTTATAAATATATTTTAAATATCTTATAAAAAACTAGTTTTTTTTTATTTTAATTACAAAACTTACAAACTTTTATATTTGTATTGGCTTATATAAATGATACTCATATTTTAAAAATAAACTTAAATTAATTACTAATATGATATTATTTTTTTATCATATAACAGATATATAAATTAATTTAGTTAAATTTATTCTGGTCTCCAATATATCATCTATTGCTAAATATTCTTTTTTTATATTATTAATTAAATCTATTTTAGCTAGCCAACTATTTAAATTCTTTGGTTATTAGTTTACACCTAATAAATTTATATTCAAAGTCAATTAATTCAAGCTAAAGTTACTTAACTAATTAATATTATTAGTACAAAAAAAATTATTAGCAAACAAACATTATATATTATTAATACAGTAATTATATCTACTATTAAATACAGATTATATAATATTGTACTTTTATATTCTATATGCAATAGTATACTATTTAAATATTTTACTGTAATTAAATATAAATTCAACTTATCTAATTTTTTCCTAATAGCTTTATGCTTAACCTATATATTTACAATATTTGGAATATTTAGATATTCAATTTCAATATTATATTACTAATTTTTAATAACAGATCAATAACTTCAATATTCTTAATATAATAACAAAGATTAAATTACAACAATTTTAAAATAATTTTTGGTCTACTACTAATATTCTTTAATATAATAAATTTGTTATTGATAAATGCAATAAACTTACTTTTAATTTTAAAATTATTTAACTATTTTAATATTTTAAAATTACAATCTTTGCTAACTATAATATATTATAACCAAATACTATATATAATAATAATCAACTAATTGAACCTATATTTATATAACATTCTAAATATATTAGTTTTAAAAAACAATTAAGAAAACTTAATATTCTATTTCTAAAACAACTATGCACTATTGATAATAGCAACTTTCTCAAATAGCAACATTTCTTATTTAGATTAAACTAGTTAATAAAAGATAAATAACCTTTATAGTTTATAATTCTTAAAAATAAAATTATATTAGATACATATTTTAGAACTATTTTATCTTATTTTTAATCATTTAATAGTAATTTTTTTGTATACAATTTACACTCTATTCTTAAAAAATAAAAATCTAGCTTTTTACTTATGATTTGAAGCTTACTAAAATACATCTAGAGTGCTAAATATCATAAGTGCTATTTCTCAAAAACATACTAAGTAAACAGAATCAGGTACTCTAAGTAAAAATGTTTAGAACTCATGAAAACCTCACAAAAACTGAAATCAGAATCTTATATATAATTTATATTATAATATATAAAACTCTTCTTTATTCTAAAACTGCATTCTAATTCTAAATTTTATTAATAAAATCTTATATAGTATTCAATACCATTAGTGCATTTTATAATTTTTATATTATTTTAACAATAAAGAAATTATTATTAACAAAATTTGCAAACATATTTATGCTTCCAACTTATTTTCAATTATATATTAAAATCTAATATTAATTTAGATTATAACTAATATTATTTAATTTCATCTATTGAATACAAATAATATATTAGATATTATCTTAATTCAAATATAAATAATTAAACATACACTATTAATATATTAGCAATTATTTCTACAATCTTTCTTATTAGAAAAACCTTTAATAACTTCAAACTTAATGCCAATTATATTAATTTAATATATTTAATAACTATTAACACTTTTTGTATATACCTTTTACTCTTTCTAATATTATTATATATGATTTTAATATCTTAAAAATCTTTTAACCAAATAGGTATATTAAGAAATATATTTATTTAATTTATAAACAATAATTTTACATTTTATACCAATGGTTCTGTTATTAATATTGAATTAGAACAATGTTCTATAAGCATTAAATAGGTTTAAATTAATAAAAATAATTAAATTAGTTATAAATTCTTAGCTTAAATTCATTTATAGCTATTATCTTACAAAGCTAAATTATTTTTTATTCTATTTACAATATCTACTGTTTCTTACAACTTATTTATTAATATTTATACAAACTCACAATCAGTTATTTCAAAATTTTAAATACTAATTAACCAATTACAAAATTTAAACAAGTTATTCAAATTTAATATATAACCTCTATAGTATACTTTTCTTAATATTATAAAATTCTTTAATCTTTAAATTACTTTTTATTAAGTTTAAACTTATACAAATAACTCTTTCAACAATTTTGTAAACTCTTTAGCTAAACAGCATATATTTCTTTAATCTTTAATCTTTAATTATACTAATATTTATAATCTATATTATATTTTATAATAAAAACAAAACTTTGTTAAACTACCAACCAGATACTTTTTCAAAAATGCTTACAAAGCATATATACTAGTAATATGGTTCTTATAAAAAAGAAACAATAAATAAACTTATCTAAATTATCAAATAGATTAGACTTCTATTTGGCTTTATTTTTTTTATTTATTTATTTTTTTTTTTAACCTTAAGCAGTTATACTAGTACTTTATTAAGATTCTTGAAACTAAATATATTTATAATTATATAGAATTTTCCAATACTCAAGTCTAGCATCACTTGGCCACCTTATTGGTACCTAAGTGCAATCTGTCACACTATCTCAGTTAGAGATAGACTGCTCGTCTAACTACTTAAAGCTATACCAGAAAGATCTTCCTCTTTCTGTAATAAGCATATTAATTGTTTTCAAAACTTCTTCCTTCATTCAGTTTATTTTTTCTACTTCCTTTTCCTTTTCTTCTTTCTTTGCTGTCTTATTTTTTTTTGCTCTTTTCTCTAATCTTCTATTAATTCGAGCATCTTTTTTCATCTTGTTTATTATATTAACTTTCTTTTTTCATTCTTGTACTTTCTTACATCAAACTCTTTATACTTGGTTGAAGAATATATTTCACACTGTTCTTGTAACTATATCTATGCATTTTTGTATTGTCTGGCTATTTAAAATCTGACTGATCTGTTTTCCAACTTTATTCATTATTAGCTCTTTTATTAAAGCTGTCCTATTAGCAATTTCCTTTGCTTCTGTTTTTCAAATAATGCCTCATATAGTACTAAAGGTAGGATTCTAACTTTTTCATTTTCTTTAAGGCTATTCTATGTTGCTGCTGTTGCTACCTTTTGGATTCTCTTCCACAAACTTTTTTGTCTGCTGCAGCTTGCTAGATGTGCTTGAGTTTCCTTTTTACCTTCTTGACATACTTGGCAATCAGTCATTTTATATATTTCTGGTCTTTTTTTATTTAATTCTTCTAATGTTGGCAGGCTATCTATTATGTATTTAATCGCTGTTGTTCTTCTTGTACTGAGTTTTCTTAATGTGCAATGAACACCTTTTGTTCTATTCATCTCTTTCCAAAAGCTTAACCAATTATATTAAATGTTCTCTGTTTCTGGTTCTAGTGCTTGAATTGGGTTTGTTTCTCTTCAACTAGCTCCAATTCTGATATTTGCAACTATTTTACAAAGAAGCTTGTCGATATATCAACTTTTCTGTTTTTCTATTCTAAATGATACTCTATCTTGTTATATTTGATCTTTTTTATAAATATTGTCCTTTCACATATAGCTTCTTTTTTTGCAAGTATATCTGCTCTGTTATAGAAACCTCAGTGCGATGCAAAATAAAAGGGCAGATTATGCGATGCAATTGGTCCAAATTATGCCCCCGATGCTCATCATTCACAAAATTATGCGAAATGATAGTAAAATTATGTGATTTTTTTTAAACAAATAATAAAATTTATTTATTTATTGAAATTTAAAAAATTCAACATGCTAATCGAATTTTCAAACAAATTCTGTCTGTTATCTGCTAAAATTCTATTATATATAGAAAAACTACACTCTACATCTACACCTGAAATAGGTAACCAAATATAAATTAATGCTAATTTAGATAAATTTGGTAAAATTTTTAATTTTTCTTACCAATAATTATCTAAATCAAAATCTTCTTCAAACAATTCATTCAACCCACAATAAATTCCCTATTCTGCAATTAATTCATTTGTAGGATTTTTAAATTCTTCTATATCTTTATAGAGTAATATGAATCAAAACATCTAGTTGCATTAAAAATTGAAATTGCAGAATTATTATTAATATATTTGTCAAATTTGTCTAAAACAAGTTGAAATGCTTCTTTAAAAAAAGAATTATGAATAGTAGAATCAAGATTAAAATCTTCATAAAGTTTTATCATCTCATTTGATTTAGGTGGAATCTCAACTCCAGAAAACAATTTTGCTCTTACTAATATTAATCTAGTTGCAAGAAATAGTGCTAAAGGTTTATCACGAATTTTAAAAAATTCAATATAATTGACTAATCTATTAATTAATTAAAAAAATATATTAGTAGTTAATAATTAAATTAAAAATTTTAAATATTATAAAA